TGAAAAAGTATCAGGGGAACATGAACATCGAGGAGTTATTCACTGAAATTTTCATTGAAAGTGAAAAATTCGAAATTTTTGAAAAAGTATCAGGGGAACATGAACATCGAGGAGCTATTCACTGAAATTTTTATTCAAAGTGAAGAATTCGAAATTTTTGAAAAAGTATCAGGGTAACATGACCATCGAGGAGGTATTCACTGAAATTGAAAAATTCTAAATTTTTGAAAAGCTATCAGGGGATCATGAACATCGAGGAGCTATTCACTGAAATTTTCACTGAAAATGAAAAATTCGAAATTTTTGAAAAAGTATCAGGGGAACATGACAATCGATGAGCTATTCACTGAAATTTGAAAATTCGAAATTTTCGAAAAAGTATCAGGGGAACATGAAAATCGAGGAGCTATCCAGTTTTTAAACAATATTTCAATTTATTAGCCATTTACAAAAAAAATAGGAATTATTCTGATAAAAAAAAAATAAATGATGGCGGGATCGAACCCTAACCGTCCGTGTGCCAGCCACGCACGTTGCCCAGTAGCCAACACGCTCATTATAATTGCATAATTTCATTAGTAGTATATCTTCAATATATTGAATAATTAGAAATTCCACAAGATGTGGCTTCCTTCTTCCGCTTGTTTTACAGTCGGCTAAATTTCAGTTAAACAAATAAAAACCAACAGCATTCATACCACAGAAAATAAAATTCACCCCGTCGACTTGATACACACCCCAGCATTACGTGTGGCGCCCTCCCTCTTTTGGGGTGCAGTACACGATGCCGCTGGAGTCACTCAAACCCCCAGAACTGAGCCTCTACTTTCTCTTTGGTCTCACTTACAGACAGAATATATCGCGCAGGCGCCAGTATATTGAATAGCCTTCTTCGTTTTGGCGGGAATCTTCAAATTTTTTTGAATCGAAGTTGAGTACTTTTGTTATATACTTTTTCGAAACATTTCTGAAACATTTCCTTAAATAAAAATCATACAACAATTACTCTGGTTAAAATTATTTTATTACGGTAATTGATTAATAATAATATACAATAATAATTGTTTGTAATATAGTGGATTCTGTTTCTTTGATAAATGTCGTTTAAATGCTGCATTTGTCCACCGGATTCATGGGGCTGTCTACTGGACAGTTAAACACTCGTCCAAACTCTGAAATCTTGCGTATAACATTATTTACTCGGAATTCCATTACATTTGTATCCAAGTTTAATTGTAAACCTTTGTAACACGAACTCTACAAACATAATATTTTGAGAATATTCAATAATTATTATCCCCATGGAATGATGATATTATTCTGTATAATATATGTTATAGTATCTACATTAGATCATTTTTTATAAAGACTACTTACCGCAGCAAAAGTTATAAAAAACATTTGTTCATCAGTGTACTCTTCAAACTGCGAAAGTTTGAAATTTGGGACCCATGTCGCATTCTGGTCTTGACCCGCCCGTTTGAAAGCCCTCAGGGATGCGCGAAGTCCAAATGTACTCGAGATAAGCTCATTCATGTCTTGAAAAGTCATGACTTTCAACTCTAAATGGTCTTCAATCCGTTGCCAAATACAGTTGGCATTCCGCAAGTAATGATTGAATGGACGCCTGTTGTAAAAGGTGAGTGTGTTATCAGCTCTCTGAGTTATCCCTGAAAAACAATGACCATGCAAATAGTCATTTTCGATCTTGAATTTATTTTATATCTCTTCCATAAAATCCAATGAAATTTACCTGTGAACTTGAGCACACGACCTATTCCCTCATTGATTACATAACCGATAGTTGCATAGTGGATATATCTACGAAAAATATGAATTAACAATTCAAAATTCTATTATCAGAAAAAATATCAATTTCTTGCACAGCTCTTTCTTCTCAATATTCATTGGCAACAATTGCTGTCACGTTGTACTCACTGTGGTATGTCAAAACTAATGGTAGACGGTTGAAAAAGAAGCACTGGAATATCTAAAATAAAATAATCATCCTACAATAATCACCAAAGATTAACTGAAAATCAATTCTAACATAATTTCATCTAAAGTAATCTATTGATTACTTTAGATGAAATTATGTTAGAATTGATTTAAAATAATAATAATAATAATAATAATAATAATAATAATAATAATAATAATAATTTCATATTTATACGCACAAACAGTGTTCTCATTATACGAATAAGAAACCTTCGACGTCAGTGATGAAACGATCAACCTGAAAATCAAATAAAAAACATAATTTCAGGAATTATTTCTCTAATTATTCTCGCCAAATCGTTTATTACCTTTTATAGATATGACAATTATCGCTGGTTTCAGGTTCATAAATATTCTGAAAATTAGTAATCCAGATAAATAATTACTTTCCTATAGAAACGCATGTACATACCCTTTTAGAATTTTCTTTAATAACACTGAGGTTTTTGTACTCCCGTGGATACGTATAAGAAAATTGAATCGTCTCCAGTTTTTTTGTGAAATTTTCTTTGAACTTGTCTTCCATCCATCTTGAATTATTTATTTGGTATATCAATTCAGTCTTCACATTTTGTAATAATTTTTGAATCTACAAAATTTATTTTATCATTTATTAATATTATTAATTTATTAATATCATGTACTGAGAGAAAAGAGTTTTTTTCCAGAAATAAGTCTATTTATTTTTCAAAAACTCATGTCTCGAAAATTGATACGAAAATTATTTACGTAAATCTGGTAATTAGGCCCAAAATTTCTTTCCACCAGCCAGTAAACGTTCACATCGAACATTTCCGTTCTTTGAAAACAATCCAACCAACTAGAACATATAAAGGTTTAAAAATATTTTCCATTATCCCATAATCTGAGGGACTAACCGTGATACCATGCCTTGCCGTTTATTATTCTGCAAATTTTTTCTCACAAATTTCAAGTAAACGTAATTGACTGAAACAAAAAAAATGCCATAATTCCCGAGGATTCAAACGAAAATTTCATATTGATTACCGATCGTCCGTTTTGTTGTCTTCCTCCATATCTCTGGTAATGCTAAATAGTATGGCCTCGCAACATTCACCTGCCAATGGAATGTTATCTGGCTATCATTATTTTTTATTACGTTCCCCAGGACTTTCATCCACTTAATCTAAATGTCATTTATAAGAGAAAAAAAGTAAGAGTAGTTAGAAATCGCAAAAAAAAATTTTCATCATGAACATATCTGAAATCCATATTTTACCTTTGTTTTTGGATTTGGTTGTAATTTATTTCTGAAATACCAATCGCCAATCCATTGTTTCAGATTCATTACATGCATCCATTGCCACTCTTCCGGAACTGTCACCTAAAAAATCGATTAAGGACCGGTTGGATTATTTGGAAAAGATAATTTACTCCAAAATTGGGATTCCTCATTACTCCGGCAATTAATCGTTTTTTTTCAATAATTGTTAGCTAGCGTTCTAGCGGTTGTCAACGACTAGAACGCTAGCTAACAATTATCGGAAAAAACAATTAATTGGCAGAGTAATTAGGAATCCCAATTTTGGAGTAAATTATCTTTCCGAGATACTCCATCCGGCCCTTAATCAAACTCCTAATAATCCCTTCATTGTTACTAGAATAATTTTCAACTAATTTTTTTTTGAGCTGCTGATTAGTTGACCAAGAAGTCTGACCGAACATTTATCTGTCTAGAAATTCCCCAAATCTACATTTAACGAACTTAATTACTTAATGTTAATGAAAAATACTAAAATATTGAATATTGATTACAAATACTGTTCGATTTTCAGTACCTCTTGCAGTGCCTTTTCAAATATGTACAGATTATGAATATCTTTCCTCAGTTGTTCTACAGAAACATTAATTTTTCTTTCGCCAAAAAATGATGTCAGCAAACGTTTAACGCCGGAGTAATATTCTTCCTCATTCTCTTCTAATGGCAGGGTTTCTTCTTCAGGCGTGTTGAGCTATAAAAAAATGTTTAAGGCTCGGGTGGATTATCTAGAAAAGACCATTTACTCCGAAATTCGGATTCCTAATTACTTTGGCAATTAATCGTTTTTTTCAATAATTGTTAGCTAGCGTTCTAGCTGTTGCCAACAACTAGGCCGCTAGCTAACAATTATCGGAAAAAACGATTAATTGACGGAGTAATTAGAAGTCCCAATTTTGAAGTAAATTATCTTTTCCAGGCAGTCCATCCGGGCTTTAAATTACCCGATGTACTTCAAAACTCTGTCCTCCTCTTTTTTCAGATTCAAAATTTGCTGATACTATTTGAAGATTGTAGATAAGAGTGTAGAACTTCTCTATGTCAACAATAAAATAGGTCAATGTTTGAAAGACAATCGAAAGTCTGGGCTCAAGATTACGCCGGAAAATGGAAAGGTTACGTACTGTCTATAATGATTTGAATAACAAAAAAAAGCTCACGTAAATATTCTGGTCTTCAGGATCTCCGCCTGGTATTGGAATGAAATCTATACCGAAAAATGCGTATTCTCCAGTTGAACGTGCAACATTTAGATCAATTTCTTGCCACGAATGTTCATCTTCTTTCCAAGCTTCAAAGTCCAGGAGCATCGGCCAGCCGCCATTTTCCTCAATAAGTGATTCCATCATGAACGCCATTGGTGAGAGGTCTATAATTATTTATTAATTATGAAATAAACCACAACAATTACTCGAGTTTGCTGAGAAGATTTCAATGAAGAAGTACTCACCAGAGCTCACGCATGATTGATACAACTTCTTGGCTTTCTGAATTGGATAAATGTCAGTATCTTCTACTGGGCTCTCCAGCATGTCTGAATAATTTTTAAGGGCCGGATGGAGTATCTCGGAAAGATTATTTACTCCAAAATTGGAATTCCTAATTACTCCGCCAATTAATTGTTTTTTCCGATAATTGTTAGCTAGCGTTCTAGTCGTTGACAACCGCTAAAACGCTAGCTAACAATTATTGAAAAAAACGATTAATTGCCAAAGTAATTAGGAATCCGAATTTCGGAGTAAATTATCTTTTCTAGATAATCCACCCGAGCTTTAAATCAAATGTATAAATTAAGGGCCGGATGGAGTATTTCGGAAAGATAATTTACTCCAAAATTGGGATTCCTAATTACTCTGCCAATTAATTGTTTTTTCCGATAATTGTTAGCTAGCGTTCTAGTCGTTGACAACCGCTAGAACGCTAGCTAACAATTATTGAAAAAAAA